ATATTTCACCCCGCCAGCAGGTCTCCCACTCGGGTGACACCGAACGCGTGTCACACGCGCTGGAGGCACGGGCTGCCGGCCCCCGCCCGCCCACACAGCCGCGGATCCTGCAGCCGTCTGCTGCTCTCTGGCTAAAATAAACTGTGCTGCACAGCCGGCACAGCGCTGCTCGGGGCTGCGGGGGACGGGAATCCGCGCAAAGCCCAGGTGGTGTCAGCACCTGCTTGGATCCGGGGCGCTGCCACATCCGAACGTCCCTCACCAGCGCCCCGGGACAGCCCTGGTGTCCCCACGGTGGCACTGCGCACCCAGGTACAGCGCTGGCCGCTCGGTGGCATTGCCCAGCCCGTGCCTGCCACCTCCGTGCCACCCGCTGGTGGCCCCAAGCCATCAACACGCTGGTCCTGACAGGCAGAGCTGAGCCCCTCTGCTGTGGCTCGTTCCAGCTCACAGCTCTGATGGGATAAGCTCGCCGGCTGTGGGGCTGGCAGGGAGGAGATGCCCCTCTGGCCCGGGGTGTTTTACTGCTGCCAGCACACAGGGCTTGCTCTGGAAGCTGCCCCTGAGCCCACCCTGCAGAGCTCCCTCTCCTCCTCACCCTGGCCTGGCTGCCACAGCTCTGGTGTTGCTGCCCCAGCCAAGCTCTCGTGGCAAAGGTGTCCTGAAGATCTCCATCTGCAAGGGTCTTCTGCCAAAAACTCCGGTGTCCCCCGTGGGCTGGGGCAGTGGGGAACAGTGGATGGCTTGGGAGGAACCTGAGGGAAGTGTGAGGTGTTCCTGTGCCCACTCTGAGCTCTAAGGACAGCAGCTTAACTAAGAACACAGGTGCTGTATTGGTACAGAAACTTATTAATACAAAAACTCTCACCTCTCCACCCCGGAAATGTCACTGTTCCCCTTTTTGTGCCTGTCCTGAAACTCTCCTGCCTCCAAAGGACATTTTGTACAGACTGAAGTACAACACATGTGTGTGCAAACACACCATGGGCAGAGCTCTCCTGGGCAGTGTCTGGATGTGACACTAATGAACCTTCCACGGGGACCATCGTGTCTGTCTCATTATTGCTGTGGGCCCTTCTGGGGCTCTGGCTCAGGTCTCTCCTACACCAGGAGCTGCTTTGCCAAAAGGACTTCACTTACAAGCTGCAATGTAAACAAAGCCGGTGGGAGCGGGGATTTATGGCAGAGCTGGAGAAGGGCTGGTGGAGATCCCCCAGTGTCTGCCTGGCCAGTGGCTGCTGCACAGACCAAAGGGACGTGTTTGTTAGTGTGAACAGCAGGTTCGCCGGCGGGTGAGTTTACAGCGGGCTGGATATAAATAAATAGAAGGAAAAGGACTTTCCCTGCCCGGGGAGTGGCATCCTGCCCGCCCAGGGAGGGCTGCCCTTGGCCTGGATGCTGGTTGGAAGAGGGATTTGTTTCCAGGGACCTCCCTTCTGGTGTCAAAAAACCTACAGGGATTTTAAAAAAAAAAATATTTTGGAGGGTCAGGGCAGGGTGAAAGGTGGAGAGGGAAGGAGGCTGCCACCGGCGCTGTCCCCAGCACCACAGTGGCACTGGGGACACAAGTGGGTGGACATCATTCTGCTTGTTCTCAGTGAGGAGAAAGCACTGGGGATCTGCAAGTTGAGAGCAGAAGGCTCCAGAGACACCTTAAAGCCCCTCCCAGAGCCTAAAGGGGCTCCAGGAGAGCTGGAGAGGGACTGGGGACAAGGGATGGAGGGACAGGACACAAGGAATGGCTTCTCACTGTCAGAGAACAGGTTTAGGTTGGGATATTGGGAAGGAATTATACTCTGGGAGGGTGGGCAGGCCCTGGCACAGGGTGCCCAGAGCAGCTGTAGCTGCCCCTGGATCCCTGGCAGTGCCCAAGGCTTGGATGGGGCTTGGAGCAGCCTGGGACAGAGGAAGGTGTCCCTGCCCATGGCAGGGAGTGGGATGGGATGGGCTTTAAGGTCCTCTCCAACTTTTAAACACTCCTATGGTTCTCTGTGCCCCTTGCTTCAGCTCAGCATAGCCAGCCCTCCCAGTTTCATCCAAGCAGGGGCACTTTGCAGTGCCAAGGAGTTCCTGCTCACCCCGACTGCCCTCCCTGAGCTAAGGAAATGCCCAGCACACTCTGAGTCCGGCAGGGACTGACCCATAACTCCCACCCCTGGCTGGGATCCTGCCCCACTCCTCAGTGCCAGGGCACAGCTCCTCAGGTGCCTCTGCTCCCCTCTGCCAGCTCACAGACACTTTGTTGGGGTGCAGAGAGACTGGGGGGAGGGGGTGGTGCTGCCCCCTCCCCAGGCAGCCCCGGGACAGAGTGTGCCCCGGCTGGGGCTGTGCCAGGAGGGGACAGCAGCAGCAGAGGCGCTCGGGCAGCTCTCCCGGGAGGCCCCGTCCCCCGCCTCTGCTCCGCGGGCTGCAAGAAGTTAATTTATTTTTGGAAAAGCAGCTCGCAGAGTTTGTCTAATTCCACCCGCACCAGCTCCGTTCACTCTATTTTAAACCAGTTCTTACTGTGCTTCAAGTTTATAAAACACAATCAGTGCTCCCTGGTCAAAGCAGCCCTAACCCGCGGAGCAGGCGAGGAGTGGCAGAGCAGCATCTCCTCCAGGACGCTCTAGCTCAGCCGAAAAGCCCTCAGGTAATTAATTAATGCTTCCTACTTGGTGTTGGTGTGTCCTGCGGCCGGGCTGCTCACGGTGACACCGCTGTGCGGTGACAGCTTTAGGGACACGAGCACAGCCGGGCATCGCTGATGCTCCCGGGCTCTTTGGGACCTCAGTGGCACCTGGCAGGTTGTGGGCTACAGAGGGATCTCCGAGGAGCCTGCTGCTTCCTCAGGAGCGGGCAGGAGGAGCATTTGGCACTGGGGAGAGAGGAGCCCCACAAGGCAGAGGTGCTGCCTGTGCACAGGGTGGATGGTGTTGATGGGCCGCTGAGCTTCCTGAAGCTTCTCCCTGTGCTGAGGCCATTTGGACGCTGCTCTGGTGGTTTCTGTGACACGGTGGGTGCCCCCCAGCAGCTCAGCTGGGCAGTGGCACCCTGCTTTTAGTCCCCGTGCTTTGCCACCAGCGTGTCACGGCCCCCTTAACTGTGGAGGGTGATGGTGCTTGCACCAAATACCCAGTGTTTAACTCAACTTCTCAGTGACTCACCGCTGCAAGCCACAAAAACTGTTTAGAAGAAGCTCCCGGCATCTCTCACACGCAGAAATCCAGGGCATTTACGGAGCGCTTTGTTTCTATTACACGAATTCTTCGCGAAACGCTGCCAGTCAGAAGGCACTGATGTCATTTGCTGAAGCGCTCGGGGGAGGTTTGTCAGCCTTGTGCTGGGCTCTCTGGTGTCTCGGGGTTAAAGCTTTCGAAAGCAGCGCCTTGGCAGCCGCAGCCGGGACATTTCCAGTGGGGATGGTTGGGCTGAGGAGCGGGAAGGGCGGCAGAGCTGCCCCAGTGCTGCCTCTGAGCATCCTCCTCCTCACCCCAGAGCCCACAGGGCACGCACAAGGGTTTTGGGGAAAGGGAGGGCTCAGGGTTCAGCGCTGAACAGAGCCGTCTGTATCCTGCTTTAGCGCTTCTTGTTGCCTCTCATCATTTGGGGAAAACACCCCAAAAGGCAGAAAAATTTAAAGCGCCTTTTTTAGGACCGCATGAGGCGATCTCGCCTATAAATATCGTTTGTCAGATGGCCCCGGGAGCAGCAGCAGGAGGTGACCCCAGGTCCCCCTGTCCAGTGCTGCTCTCTCTGCTCTGTGTGTTGTGGTGGTCCAGCTTGGAGGGGAAGGGAAATGCGGTTGTTGTGTGGAGCGTTCAGGCTAAAAATAGTTTCCCTCTCGTGCTCCATCTGAATGGGCAGCCACATATGACTGTACATGGATTTGTCTCATAGTCCCGTTTCAGTGTAAGAGACAAAATATCTTAGTTATGGCTTTGTTCTTCAGCTAACAATGGGTAGCTAAAAATATCCGACTTTGTTCCACTCAATAAAGTTCTCTCAAGGGGAGACACTAACGTTACATTTTTGCCAAATCCATGTAAAACACAGCCAAAGAAAATGCACATTTTTGCCAACAGCTTTTCATAAAACATGTAGCTAGCAGAAAGCTCCGCGCCGTGCGGCTGTGCAGCATCCCGGGACTCCTGGCTGCCTCGCTCCCCGGGAGCATCCGAGGAGGGCGAGGCACATGGGGCTTCCTCCCACCCTCATCCTCCTCTGGCCACGCTCCCCAGCTGCCAGAGCGTTCGGGCACGGGGCGAGGCGCTGCTGCCTGCTCGTGCCTGGCAGAGGGCGATTGCCCCTCCTGTGCCAGCTCTGGCTGCTTGGTGGTCGCTGTGGTCTCGCTCCAATTCCCTTATTTCCCGTCTGATGGCAGCCAGGGCTGGAGGCTGGCCCTGTCCTGCTGTGCAGGCGCAGTGCTGGTGTTTGTGAGGAGCCTGGCACGGCTGCTGCCGCGCTCCCGCAGCCTGACAGCCAAGAGGAAACCAGCAGAGACCTCACCGAGCTGGCACGGGCCCTGTGGAGAGGGAGATGGACTCTCCTGCTCTCATCCCCATCTCCACAGAGAATCTCTCCCTCTCCTCTGAGTCCCTGGTACCTTTTTTCCCAGCTGCAAAGCCAGGACCTGCTCCCAGAAAGGCTCAGGGAGGCAGGAGAACATCCCTTGCTGGCTGCATGTGGAGACCAGCCTGCCCCGTGGGTGACAGTGCCCACCGGGCAGAGCAGAGCTGGGTGACCCAGCTGAGGGAGCCTCTCTTTGTAAGTCAGGGCTGGTCTGGGTGGGAGAGCACTTTGCTTTCCTGGTGTGGGGCAGCTGGAGCTCCATTTGGGTTGGGCTGCACAGCTGCCCAGCAGGTGCTGCCTGAGTGGGACCAGCTCTTGTTCTCCTTGTGCCCTGCACTGGGAAAAGTGGCTAGGCTTCTTCTGCCTTCCATGGGACTGGAGATTCCCAGGTTTTTTGTCTCTCAATCATTTCTGTAGCTCTTCCCTGAACCCATTCTCATTTCCCAGCATCCCTCCTGCTTGTAGGCAATGAATTCCCTCATCCTGATGCCTCCCTCTGTGCTGTGTTTGCTCTCCAAGCCAGTGTCAGGCCCAGAGCTCCAACTCCATCATTTTCACTGTGTGCCCTCCTGCAGCTTCGTCCCCTCGCTGCTTCTCTCCAGGACCACTCCACTTTTCGTGTGCCTGTGCAGAACCCCACTGGAATTCAGGCAGAGACATTCCAGAGGAGCAGGGGAGGTGTGGGTGTTGTGGCAGGAGCAGTGTCCTGTGCCTGGGGAGTTGGTTTGGTGCTGGTGAGCAGCTGAGGCTGCAGATGGAGGAGGGACACAGGCCAGGGGGACGTTGTGTGGCTCTTCCACACCTCATGGCTGCATCAAACCTCCCTCTGCCTGGTGGTTATCCCACTCCTCCACCAGCCCTGGCATGCAGGACCTGTCTGTGCTGGAAAGGCTGAGCTCCAAAGGTGGGATGCCCACCCCAAGTGTGTTTTCTTGGGAAGAAGAGGCAGCCCGACGTGATTCATGCATTGTTTGCTGCTGCAGCATTCCCGGAATGTACCTGCTTTATTTCTTGGCTTTCTTGCCTGTGACTGGAGAGGAGCTCAGCTCGTGCACGGGGGTTTAGATGACAGAGCTCCAGCCCTGATCTCAGGCTCAGGGGTGCCTTGCAGCAGGACAGAGCCCCCGAGCTGGAGGGACCTGCTGGGGGTTCGTTCCAGATGTGACACGTTTGTGGCAGGGCTGTGTGTCCCTCCCCACCTCTGAGCCCTCGGCAGGCACAGACAGGAGAGCTCAGTGATGCCCCAGTGATGCACAGCACGGTGGGGACATCACTCATGGTGATCCCCTGTGGGCCCAGCAGCACATCCCCGAGGAGGATGGGTGGTTCAGAGATGCACCACAGACCCCCACACCCAGCAGAGCAGCGGCAGGAGGCACCAGACTCCTCTGCCAGCCTGTTCCCTGCTCCTCCACAGAGCTGCACCTCCCCAGCCCAGTGCCTGCCCCCAGAGCAGCAGCCCTGCCCTCCCTGCCCTGGCTCCCACCCTGCACAGACACACTGTGCTCAGGGAACAGCCCCAAAGCCCCCTGCCAGCCTCCTGCCACGCTCTCCTCCAGGGCCCAGCCCACCCTCGGGACTCTGAACCACACCTGCCAGGTTCCTGCAGGATTCTCTGGCCACTGCCCTGCCTGTGTCCATCTCCCAGAGGCAGGCAGGCACCAGCCTGGGCTGTTGGCACTGCCCTGGAGAAGGCACCAGGAGAAGGCACAGACTGTCCGGGGGCTTTTCTGACTCACGTTGATTTATGGCCCAACCTCAAGCCAAAAAATTCACCCTTCTTGCACAGGCGTTTTTGGAGCAGATGCAGAGGGCTTATCAGCTGTCCCCAGGGATGTCCTGGCTCTGGAGCCTGTTGTGACAGTGTGACAGCATCCTCAGGACGGGGCTCTGGGGTGTGGGGTCTGCTGAGGCTCTGCAGGGCTGGCAGTGGGACTGGGCTGCTGCTGGTGCTGGGGGTTGTGTCTCCCCTCCAGGCAGAGCTCTGCCCCGTGGGGAGCAGCCAGTCTCCCAGGAGGATTGGTTTTGGTGGGCCATCTGCCCATCACCCTGCAGGCTGTGACTCCTGGAGCAGCAGGTGTGGGATGAAGGAGCAGCAGGTGCCTTTGCAGAGCTGTCAAGGAGTAAAATGAACTAAAATAAAGTCCAGGCTGCAGGGAGCAGCCCAGCCTGATGGACCCCAGCCCCTCCAGCCCCTGCTCTTCCCTGGCTCTGTCACAGCCCTGTGCCAGCAGCAGGACACCTTGGGGTGCCAGGAGCTCCTCTCTGGGAGCCACAAAGCAGCTGTGGCACCTGCACAGGTCTGCACAGGACCCGTGGGACAGAGCAGGTGCCCAGGGAGGTTCCTCACCCTCTGTCTGTCCCTCTGTCTGTCCCTGGGGGCTGTGCTCAGGCAGAAGGGAGGATCTCACCTGACACCATGTATCTCAGAGCATCACCCAGCCCCCAGGCAGGCTCTGACAGGGGGCTGGCCTCTCTCCTCTGCAATGTTAGCAACATGAAAGGTGTCCCCTCTGTCTGGTAGTCTCCATTCCCACTAAACATGGGAAGAGGATGCTGCTGTGAGCTCCCTGTATGATTACCTGGCACCCTGCAGTGCTCCTTGTTGCCCTGGCAGAGCTCCTGCCAAGCCCTTGCTGCTCTCCGGCAGTGCCAGCGTGGGGTGGGGATCCCTCCTGTGTGCCCTGTGCCCAGGCTGTGCCCAGCCCCACATGCAGCAGCTGCTGGGGCTGCCTGGGGCACAGCAGCCGTGGCTCTGCCCTGGGAAAGGCTGAGCCAAGGCAGCAGAAACCTGCAGCATTTCCCTCGGGCTGGTTCTGGTTTGGCTCCTGCCTTCCCCAGGGCTGTGCCCACCGTGCCAGCCACACTCCCCTGAGCCCTGGGAGTTGTCACCCGAGTGCAGCATCTCACACCCAGCATCTGTGGCACCCCAGACCAGCCTCCAGAACTCTTCTCTCCTTACAATTTTCTAATCCTTTTAACTGCAGGGCTGCTTTTATCCTTTATGTGATTTTTCACATATCAAATCTTCCCCATGTGCTGCTCTGGCTGCTGGAGGGGAAGAAAGCAGAGTGGCTGAGG